GAGGCTCCGCCCCTGGGGGGTCCACCATGGGGAGGTCCTCCATGGGGTGCTGCACCTCGGGGTGCTTCATCAGGGGGTTCTCCACCTCGGGGTTGTCCTCCACGGGGAGGTCCTCCACGGGGCGTTCCGCCGTGGGGCGCCCCCCCAGAGGCGGGTGCCCCTTGGGGCTCCCGGTCTTGGGGTTCTCCTCCCCGGTCTCCAGCCCTCGGTGCGCCCCAAGGCTCCCGGGCTTTGGGCGCCCCTCCATCGTCTCCAGACCTGGCTGAACCTCCGACGTGTCCACACTTAGCTGCATCCCAAACGTCTTGGTCGTGGGATGCCCCTCCGTCGTCTCCGAGCCCGGCTGAACTTCCATCCGCTGTGAGCCTCGCTGACTCTCCGATGTCTTCAAACTCGGTTGAACCTCCAACACCTTGGTCTTTGGGTGCACCTCCACCGCTTCCAAGCCTGCTTGACCCTCCAAGCCCGGCTGACCCTCCAACACCTCCAAGCCCGGTTGACCGCCCAAGCCCGGTTGACCCTCCAACTTCTCCAAGCCTGGTTGACCCTCCGAGCCTGGTTGACCCCCCAAGCTTTGTTGACCCTCCAACATCTTCAAGCCCGGTTGACCACCCAAGCCCTGCTGACCCTCCAACTTCTCCAAGCCTGGTTGACCCTCCGAGCCTGGTTGACCCCCCAAGCTTTGTTGACCCTCCAACATCTTCAAGCCCGGTTGACCACCCAAGCCCTGCTGACCCTCCAACTTCTCCAAGCCTGGTTGACCCTCCGAGCCTGGCAAGCCCGGTTGACCACCCAGGCCCGGCTGACCCTCCAACTTCTCCAAGCCTGGTTGACCCTCCGAGCCTGGTTGACCCCCCAAGCCTTGTTGACCCTCCAACATCTTCAAGCCCACTTGACCCCCCAAGCCTTGTTGACCCTCCAACATCTTCAAGCCCGGTTGACCGCCCAAACCTGGTTGACCCTCCAACATCTTCAAGCCCGGTTGACCGCCCAAGCCCAGTTGACCCTCCACCGCCTGCAAGCCCGGTTGCCCCCCCAAGCCTGGTTGACCCTCCAACATCTTCAAGCCCGGTTGACCGCCAAAGCCCGGTTGACCCTCCAACTTCTCCAAGCCTGGCTGACCCTCCAACATCTTCAAGCCCGGTTGACCCTCCAACTTCTCCAAGCCTTGTTGACCCTCCCACTTCTCCAAGCCTGACTGACCCTCCAACATCTTCAAGCCCGGTTGACCCCCCAAGCCTGGC